TCACAGGGGGCGCCCTGCCAGTCCCTGCGAGGGCAGCAGTCAGGCAGCCTTTGGCAGCATGCCTGCAGGAGGTCCTAGCTTTTTTGCCTGCGGATTCAGCGGCAAAAAAGCTAAGAATAAAGCAAGAAATGACAATCGGGGAAAGAGAAATAAAATATGCAATTGATGTAGAACTGAGCATAATTTTTGGATGAAAATTTTTGCAAAAAATGCAAAGTCGGGTTGACAAAATATTTGCAAATAGCAGAATTTGGCAAATAGTTTCAGCTGAAAAATCAAAAGAAATTCTAAAATTTTGAAATGTAGCTAGATTTAATGATTTTTAAAGGATGAAAAACACCATGTTTCATTTTAGGTTAAATAAAATATTTCATTTTATTTGTGTTTTTCATTTTGCCAAGAAAAAAGAAACAAACAAACAAATCCATTCTGGGTCAATCCAAAACATTTTCCCTTAACAGTTAGAAGCAGCATAGCTATCTGTTAGGGGAAAACTGAAGTCATATTTTTAGTATTTACTTAGACTTCTAAAGAAGAGGTCACTTAATTAGAATATATAAGCAATATTAATAGCTGTAAATGTTTGAAACTCACCAGTGAATACAAATTCAGCAGCTGTGATCTGTGTGGTGGGGCGGGGAGAGGCTTCTACTTTTATAATGATTGCATCAGGAAATAGGCTCATAATTACAGCTGATTGAACTTGGAATTTCTGTTTTATGGAAAATTTCAAAGTATCAAAATTTGTTTTCATCCCAGATCAGAACAAACCATAATATTTTCAAAGTTACTAACAAAATGGAAATTCCAAAAATGCTAGGTTAGGAAAACTTAATTTCAGAAACATTTTGAAAATTATTTTATTTTATTTTTTATATTTCACATTATTTCATGACATGCCAGTAGTAGTGCATATTATGAACTGACATCATTTCATAATGTCATGATATAACATGTACTACTTCTGATTACATGGAATAATGTAAAGATAATAAGACTAAATACAAATTAAAATAAATTTCAAAAATGAAATTTTATTTTGAAACAAGATTTTGAAATTTTTCTGAAATGAAATTTTCCTAAATTAAAAAAGTTATTTTTTGTCTCATCAGAAATTTTTGCCAAAATTGATGAGTTTTGTGAAAAAATTGTATTGAATCAAAACAGCATTTTCTGAGGAAAAAACGCTTTCATGAAAAATCTCCTACCATCTGTACTCATGACACATACTGGGGCAAAAAGGTCAGAGCTGCAGTTGCAGATACAAGTTATAGTAGGAGATTTCCACAGTTATTTTTAGATTTGTGCTATATTTTTTCTGGCTGTGGGTTCTTTTGGTTTCTCTTTTGGAGTTCTTTGCGGGTTACATTTTACATTAAACAAGGTGCCCCTAAAAGGTTAATGTGCTGCAGAATTTTGGATTGAAAAGTGTATGACTAACCTTGTGAAAGCGGATTAATTGAAGGGTGCCATTCATATGTAATCTCCAAGAGATCTGTGGTCCAAGTACTTACCAGTACCTCTCTGCATAACAGAAAACGAACAATGAAAATTTAAAAGTTGATATCCCACTGAGATAAATGGGGTTTATTCATACTTTTCAGAGCGATTACAGCAGGCTCTGCATAATCAGGTAGACAAGGCTGAATCAGTTTACACTCAGTTCATGTTTTTAAGTTTTTCTTCATAAACCTAAGTGCCAAGGAGGCAAAGTTAGATCATCCCTGAGACTGCTCTGATTTAAACTGGGAGACCCCCTGCTCCTCTCAGGATCATAAAAATGCAAACGTAGTTTTAAGACATGTTAGCAGCTTTCCTTCCCCTATAGGTCATAAATCAGAAATAATGTTGTGGTTCATTTTTGGAGATCCACTGCTGGAAAGGTAAGGTTGACTGCTTTTAAACCATAGTGAATGATTAAACAGGGCAATCAATAACGTCATTTAGCAACAGTTGGTAGGGGAGAAAAATAAGCACAAGGCACCTTCTCAACTCACATTTCACACAGATCATAATTCTATTAATAAAAGCCATATAACACCTTTGCTAGCTTTCTAGATACAATAGGTTTCAGAGTAGCAGCCGTGTTAGTCTGTATCCGCAAAAAGAAGAACAGGAGTACTTCCGAAGAAGTGGGCTGTAGTCCACGAAAGGTTATGCTCTAATAAATTTGTTAGTCTCTAAGGTGCCACAAGTACTCCTGTTCTTCTTTTTTTGCTAGATACAATAGAGATTCATTTGGTAATGAAAGGAATGTTGTATGGAATACCTATTCATCACACTGCTCAGTGTAAGGCACCGACATTTGGCATTTTGTTTTTCATAGATTATATATAGTCAGTAGTGTCCAAGTATTTAATGTAGTTTAGGAATCAGTGATTTGATGAACAATGAGGCTCTTGGGGGCTGCTCCCTTTTACAAATCTGACACCAAATTGAATAAAACATCGAAATAGGGAGATTTTTTAATGGAGTTCATCACCCTCTCTGGACACTGCTAAATCACTCCTGCCAGACATGACTGGCACTCAAAAATACTTCTTAAGAGAGCAATCTGTTTCTGGAGTGAACCAGATTGCGACAGGTATCAAGCATTTAACAAAACAAAACTCCCCTGGGGAAGATACACCAGACAACCCTAAAAGGGCTTCCCACACCACAATCCATTTCACAGTACAAGTTCAACACTCCGCTGTATTATCAATATTCTCTTTATATACATTAGGAACAAAGTACAAACCTTTCTATGGATTTAGGCCTTATCTACCACTACACTACTGAGATGACCTATATTAGGTCGACTTACAGCTACCGCAGTAATTACTGCAATTTTTCATGTCCACACTGCCTTCCTACTGTCGGTAGTGCATCTAGGGTTGCCATGTGTCCAGTTTTCAACTGGAAAGCCGGGTTGAAAAGGGACCCTAGCGGCTCCAGTCAGCACTGCTGACTGGGCCATTAAAAATCCAGTTGATGGGGCTGGCAGGCTCCCTACCTGGCTCTGCATGGCTCCTGGAAGCGGCAATATGTCCCCGCTCCGAGCACCAGCTCTGCAGCTCCCAATGGCTGGGAACCGAGGCTGTGGAAGCAGCGCCTGCGGGCGGAGGCAGTGCGCACCACGCAGAGCTGCCTGGTCCCTCTGCCTAGGATCTGAGGGACATGTCGCCGCTTCCAGGGAGCCCCCCGAGGTAAGTGCTGCCCAGAGCCCGTTTCCTGCAACCTCTCCCTCACTCCAACCCCCTATCCCAGCCTGAAGCCTCCTCCCACACCCAAACTCCCTCCTGGAGCCCGCATCCCCTCCCGCACTGCCACCTTGCCTCAACTCTGAGCCCCCTCCCCAAGCCTGCACCCCAACTCCCTGCCCCAGTCCTAAGCCCCATCACGCAGCCCGCACCACAACCCCCTGGCACAGCCCGGAGCTCCCTCCCGCACCCAAACTCCTTCCCAGAGCCCACAGCCCACCCCTCCCCTGCATCCCCAACCTTCTGCCTCAGCCCGGAGCCCTCTCCCAAACTCCCTCACACAGACCACACCTCCCCTGCATCCCCAACCCTCTGCCTCAGCCCGGAGCCCCCTCCCACACTCCAAATCCCTCGGCTCCACCCCCCATCCGAGTCCCCTCCTGCACTCCAAACCCCTCATCCCTGACCCCATCCAAGAACCTGCACCCCAATCTCCTGCCCCAGCCTGGAGCCCCCTCCTGCACCTTGAACCCCTCATTTCTGGCCCCACCCCAAATGATGGGGGATGGAATGAACGGGGACGGGGCCTTGGAGAAGGGCGGGAAGGGGTGGGCCTCAGGAGCGGGGCTGTAGTGTTCGGTTTTGTGCAATTAGAAAGTTGGCAACCGTAAATGCATGTCCTCACCAGAAGCGTTTGCTAAGAGCTTTCAGTGCCTGGCAGCCAGGCTTCCAGCTGGGAGCTCTGTGAGGAGCTGAGAGCCCGGGTGTTCAGAACTAGGCAGGTGGGAGCTCTGTGCCAAGATGAGAGCCAAGGCTCTCAGCACCAGGCAGGACACAGAGCTGACAGGCGATGTAAGTAGTACAGTGTCTAGTCTATACAGACACTGTGTCACCCTAACTACATTGACCTAGGTGCTACACCTCTCATGAAGTTGGAGTTATTAGGTTGGTCTAGTGGGGCAATTACAGGGGCGGGAGCAATGTAGTGTAGACACTTACAGAGTTAGGTTGACGTAAGCTGCCTTACATCGACCTAACTCCGTAGTGTAGACCTGGCGTTATATGGACAATTAAAATCAATGTATGAAGCAGCTCCTATGGGAGCACATGAATAACCCCATTACTTCAATTGGTTTACTTGTATGCTTAAGTGCTTTGCTGGATCTGGGTGTAAGGGAGAAAGTTTATGAGAGACCACCTTGACAAAACATTGGTAGCACGTTACTGTGAAGATGAGATTTTATACAGTTGTTGCATATATTTAGAAGCCTTGTGATTGAGGCCCATATGTCCAGGATTTACTGTACAGTTGAAAGGATTTCTGATTTTACCCCTTTTAATCTTAATATGATACTTAAAGAAAGAATATCACAGTTCCGACAGCAGAACATTTTTATTTATAGGAAGTTTCAGTTTGTCCTGAGAAGCTACTGCCACCTTGTTTAGCCATTTTTAGCATCCGACATCCATGTAAATAATCTACAGCTAAATAAGATTTTTTAAATGTAACTATATCAAACACTCACAGATTTGTCTTGTCTTTTCCAATTCTTATTAACTTGATTCAGTATTGGGAGAGAACAGTAAATGCAATCTGTATGGTACTAGGAATTTAGGAATAATATTTTCAAATAAGCCATCATATACCATATATGTTTAAATGTGTAACAGTCAAGGCAAAGCTTTTTTTTCCCCCTCTGCTCCATGCAGGATATGATTTTAAATGTAAAATGCATAGTTATTAATTTCTTGTTTTTAAATTTAGTACTTTGAAATGTAGATACTACAATTTGGGAGTAATTCACTAATTCATTGACCGATTTGATCACTGGGTTATTTCTATAACATACAACCCAGCCTGCTAGCATTTGAGTCAAAACTGTGATGCATTCATGTATTGGAATTTTAATTTCCCTCCATATAATAAAAAATTAAACGTATGCCAGTTGTCCTAACTTTAAATCTTATGTATTACTATATGCTTAAAAGAAAATTTCAGAAATTTTATAAATTACAGAACCCACACTCTTGCATTACCAGCAATGACAAAGGCCTGTTAAAATAAAACATTCCAGTTACGTATTGGAAAAACACACTTATTCTACAGAAACAGCCATGTATTTGTCATTATGAAAGGAGTTCCAGAAAGCAAGAGAGAAAAAAATTCTTTACCATTGATTTCACTGGGAAAAGCTCATGTTGTGTGTTTATTTAAATATATGGTGTAGCTTTTACAAAACCTGTTTTTGCTAATTTTCTAGCAGATG